GGAGACTACTCTCCGAGTTCCCAGGACACTCAGGGTTGCCACTGTCTAGGTTGGGAAAGAATTGGACAGAGGCTTGGTTGGTAAAGGGCAGCCATGGTGATTCCTAACAGTGAGTTAGTGAGTGTGGCCAGAAAGTGAGCAAACACCTGGGTGGATGGGGCAGCTCCAAGTGAAAAGGGAAGTAAGTCTAATAGTATGACCTGGGTCATGCTGTGCTTCCTGTTAGAAAGGGTCTAAAGAAGGCACCCCATTTGGTAGTGGTGGCATACACCTGCAGTCCTAGACAGAGACAGAATAGCAGCCAGCTCCGGGACAGCCAAGACTATGTCTTGGCTATGCCTGACAATGAGGAGGAGGAGGAGATATTGCAGAGTCCTCATCCACCTCTGCTCTCTATAGTTGGAGCGAAGACAAACCCCAGGAGCAGCTATTTGGTCTCATGTCTCCTCCAGGAGAAAACACACCTGGACAAAGCATCCTGTTAGATGCAAGCACCTTCCCAAACCCAGCAGTAGGGTCTGTGCACACCTCAGGGTGTGAATACACATGGGGCAGACCTGCAAGGCCTCTCCATCTTTCTTCTAAGCTAGAGAACCTAGGAGGCCTGATGGGCTTATCCCAGCTCACACAGACCTGGGGCACAGGATACACATGGTTTTACTATTCTAAATATAGCCCAGGCTTGGCCTCAAGAGATTTCACTGACTACTTCACAATCTACCCTTCTTGGAACTGGAGATTCCTCTAAAAGCAATCAAGGAGTCCAGCAATGCAGCACGTGCTGAAATCCCAGAGGGACCGTGAGTTCAAGGCAGCCCAGACTACATAAGAAGACCCTGACTCCCAATGTACACATAACTGATCAACCAGAGACCAAGTCCCTATTTGCTGGGTCCAGCGAGCACAAGCAAGAGCAGGGGCATGGACTTTTCAGGCCCAGGAGTAGGGCCATTCTTGTGGCACTGTCCATGCTGCTAACCAGGTCACTATCTCTAAGGCAGATATGCTGTTGGTGACATCACGGGTCTCTCCTCTCCAGAGGAAAGGAATCCAACCTTTGGAATGGACAAAACCTCTTTCTGAGCAGCCCTGAGTGGGCAGTGACCAGGTCTCTGTGAACTGGCTTCAGGACAGTAATGATCAAGGTATAGGAGGCTACGTTTGTCCTTTTCGGTCCTACTCCATCCTAATTTGTGTGTATCCTTTCTGTCCTTTTAATTGTTGCCCATAGTTGAGTAGCTCCTATCTGTGCTTTCAGCTCTTTTGGGAAAAAGATGGGGGAGTGAAAGAGTAGATGGGTAGATAAAATTAATAGACAAATGGACAGAGAAACAGACTAAGGCAATAACTAGACCTCTCCACACTACCTACCCGAGACTGGTGCTCAGAGCAAATGCCGACCAGTGTGCGCAGGGCTGCCAGCATCAGGTCAGTCTCTCCTGTGTCCAACAGGCGTTGCAGGAGCTGAACCCCATTGCTCCGGAAGATCTTCTCGGCTCCTGCATCCTCTCGGGCCAGTACCACAAGGTTCTGAGAAGCCTACGCCAGAGGAAGTACATACTAATGTTGACACTACAGACATCCAAAAGCAGGGCAGGCAGCGAGGCCCTGAGCTCTGGGCCTCACTGCTTCTTCTTAGCCAGCCATAAATTTCACCCTTTGGAACTTCGGCTTCCTTCTCTTCAAGTAGAAAGGAGAGCTTGGTCTTGTGGGTGATGGTTAGAGTGGGGTCCCTAGCAGGGCTTCAAGAGCAAGGGCAGCACCTCAGTCACACTGTATGCCAGCTCCTGGCTCTAGGGTGACCACCAAGGTGCTCTGTGAACACTAATTCCCTTTCCTTGCTTCACACCAAGGACTCAAGGCCAGCAGGACTTCTGAGGTCCATACTGGTGAGCAAAGGGGTATGTATGGAAGCCCTAGAGGCTCACTCCAGGACCTGTACCTTCTGCTTCTTCTCTGTGCCTTTCTCTTTGGGGTCCAACAGTATCTGAAACATCTGTTCTACTTTGGCATCTGTTGAGGACATGTACCGCACCTATGAAGAAGCACAGAATAAATCATCTTTCTTGGCCAGACATGTTATATTTCCTATGAGTTCTCCCTGGCTCTCCTCCCTGGGAGGTTCAGAGCTCAAGGCCAACAGCTAGAAACCATGGCAGGCAGGAAGAGACTTGCCAGAACATATTCTCCTAGACTTCCCGGGGCTGTTTTCCTCTCTGAACTTCTTCCTGCTTGGGCAATATGGCCTGGTGATGCTACAGTGAGTGCCTTCACAAGGGAAGGCATCTCGTTAGACATAAGGAAACCCATTCCCAGGAGTGGCAGCTATGCTAGAGCAGTGTGAAAACATAAGCTTGCTACTATGCGCTGAACTTGACAGTCACCATTTACAAGACACCAGGAAGGTTGTGAAGTAGCTGCTAACACTCCCTTTGATGCCTTGTGTGCACATGAGTGTGTGTGTGTGTGTGTGTGTGTGTTAAGTCAAAGTATTTTTTGAAAGCTTCCTTAATCCCATTCTTTTCCTCCCATGTTACCATTTTGATAAATACCACACACAGAAACACACACACACACACACAATTTCTCTTCTTCCTTTCTTTCTTTCTTTCTCTTTTTCTTAAATGTAGACCAAGCTGGTCTTGAACTCACAAAGATCTGCCTACCTCTGCCTCCTGAGTGCTGGGATTGAAGGTGTGTGCCACTACACTTGGCCTTTGGAGTCCTTTTTTTTTTTGTTTGTCTGTTTGTTTTTCAAGACAAAGTTTTTCTGTGCTATAGCTCTGGGTTTCTTGGAGCTCACTCTGTAGACCAGGCTAGCCTCAAACTTACAAGAGATCCACCTGCCTTTACCTCCCGAGTGCTTGGATTAAAGGTCTGCACCACCACCTCGCAACTTGGTGTACATTTTTAACAGTCTTTGTGTTTGTTTCTTTCAAGACAGGATTTCTCTGTGTGGGCTTGGCTATCTAGAACTTGCTCTGTAGACCAGGCTAGCCTCAGGCTCCCAGTTTAACAGGCTTTTGATGCACAACTTCAACCATATTTTTCATTGTACCCAGTGTGCCCAGACATGATATACTGCAGTGGTACATCAGTGGTAACAGAACTGTCCTGTGTATATTACTGCTTATTTTACTCTTCCATCCACTTCTCAAAAATGACAGCACTGACCTAGTCTGTTTAGTTTTTCTCTCTTTGCTGGGCATTTAGGCAGGTTCCAAGTTTCTCTTACTATAAACAAGACTAAAATAAAAGTCAGACACCTGAAATCCCAGCACTTGGGAAGTGTAGACAGGAAGTCATCAAAGCCATCTTCAGCTACATAGCAACCAGGACCAGCCTAGGTTCTATGAGACCCTGTCTAAATAAATAAATAAATAACATATTTTTGGAAGCAGGAGAACCAGTGGTTCAAGGGCAGCTTCAGGTATGTAGTAACACTAAGGTCAACATGGGCTAACTAAATTACAAGATGTTCATTTCCGACACCGACATGCTGAAGTACTGCTGTAAGAGTCCACACACACACACACACACACACACACACACACACACACACACACACACAGCCACACCACTTTCCTACCGGCACCAAACAACCATGCTTTTTTTTATGATTTCCTCCAACAGGCAGAGCATTATTAATGCCAGTTTGCTACGAGTACTCCTCTCTGGAGCACTGTGTCTACACCCCTGAACCAGACCCAGGCAATCCCCAACCTCTCTTCATCTTTCACATACCTTCTCCTGGATCTGGCCCCCAATGTTCCTCAGGGACTCCTGGAAAACTTTGTTCTTGGGCTCTAGGCTCACACATCTCTTCAGGTCAAGGACAGCCTGGTCCAGGCGGCCCAGCTTCTCTAGGGCTTGGCTTCGGCGATAAAGGGCCTTGACATCCCCACCGTCCTTTTCAATGGCTGGGCACAAACAGGAGCTCTGTCAGCACCCATGAGGCCACCATCTCCAGGCAAGAGCAGTAGGGAAAGATCTTGAGGGCCAGAGGAAGGTGGGGGTACGAATGTGGAGCTCGGTGCTTCAGCCTCAGAAAAGGTGAGGGCAGCTGCAGAAAAGCAAAGGCCGGAGAAGTGGGAAAGCAAGTAGAAAGACCCGTGTCGGGACCAGAGAAGGAGGAGGAGGAGGAGGAAGGGATGGCTCGGTGGCCCCGGAGTCCTTGCCCGCCACAGAAGACCCACAACTCCGTAAGAGGGCCCACACCCCCCTACCTTTAGACGCTTCTGATTCCGCTTTATTGTAATCTTCCTGTAAGAGAAAAATTAGCAGCCTGAGAGGAATGAATCAAGTAGCAATGGGCACCCTTCCTCAGCTGACACCCCCACTACCAATGCCCAAACACACCCGACAACTGTGGGTGGCTAGGAAATGCCCAGCGGGTGCGCATACAGCAGCAGCTATGGGCAACCCCGGGCCCAGGCTGAACAAGGTTGGAGTAACCCGACCCCTCCCTCACCAGCTTGAGGTGGCAAGCAGCCCGGTTTCGGTGCAGAATGGCCTGGTCCTGGGGCGTCGCGCCGAGACTCAGGGCCTGGGTGTAGGCGGTCAGGGCACCCTCGTAATCTCCGCATTTGAACAGCTCGTTCCCCTCCTTCCGCAGCTGCTCAGCTGAGCTGGCCTACGGAGAGAAAGGCGGTGGGCAGAGCAGCTCGGCTGAGAGAGGAGCCGGGTCCGGGGAGCGTCCCAAGGAGGGCTAGAATAAGGTGACGGCGATCAGGTGCGAAGGGGAGATGTCACAGGAGGACCAGTATGCACCCCGGGGACCGAAAGTCGGGGCTCAGGGGTCCCCTGGACCACTCACAGTCATCGCGAAGCCGAACTGCAGAGCCGGCGCAGGCGCACTCTCTGGAGCAAAGGTGGCCCTGGGATCCAGAAGATGCCTGGGGCTGCTCCGCCCCAGCAATGCGTCAGGGTTACGCCAAAGAAGGAGAGGCCAAGAAGAGGTTGCGTCGGTGCAAGGGCGGGGGCTCAGCTGCATTGCGCAGACGCAGACGCAGGCTCAGCGACGCATCAGGAGCTTCTAGTCTGTTCCCACTGGGACCAGTAGGGGGCGCGCCGCAGAGGCCCGAAAGGGAAGGCGGCGGCTGCTGGAGTTTAGGCTTTCTTTCCTTCCCCGGCCACGGCAGAAGTGCACGAAATCTGCTGTCATCAGTGCCAACAGAAGTAGACTGTAGAGGCCCAGTGCTAGGAGCGGGCCTGGGCCCCTGTAGGAGAGAGGAGAGAATGAAGATCGTACACGGGCTGCGACAAGCCAGGGGTTACGGAACCCAGAGAGTCGGAGAAAGCACAGGATACAGACTGCATACACATTGCATACAAATTTGGGAGCTCGCAAGTACCTTGAAGACGAACGCAGCTGGATTCAGAATTAAACTCCCTACCATAATGTGTGTAACCCATGGACTTCGAGATCCTCTCTATTGACACCGTACAAACCCCTTAAGTCCCATAAAATATACAGCAGGTTTGGTTACTTTTCACTCCTTCATGGAGGTGTTTGTAATCGTGATTTACGTGACCTCCTCTGTACTATTCTGGAAGCTACCAGCCTCCCACTGCAGAATTTAAGGACAGAGCCCAAGACACTGGAGCACTCTGTCAGTGCCCTGTGGATCTGGGATCACAGCTCTCACCTGAGGATGGGTGGGGGCTGGAGAGAAGACAAGTTTACTTGGTACAGGGCCTCAAATTCATCCCGGGTACAGCAGGAGCCCCCGGCAGCCTGCAGGTGGCAACAGTAGGCTTCTTCAGGAGTATCAGAGAGGCGAGGACAGAAGAAACCAGGGTAGTGGCGGCCTTCAGTGTCTCGTGTGGTTTGGCACAAATGGGGGTGGTGAGCCAGTGCTGCAGAGAAACAAGAAGTCTCTAGAGAAGTGAGGTTACCACACCCCCTTCACCCTGTTCAAAGTGCAAAATGGGGTCCAAGCCCCTACCAGAAGAGGGGTGGAGGCTCCCTTCACCCCTCACCAACAGCTTTCCCAGCTCAAATCGCCCTCAGAGGATAGGGGAAGTGTTATACCTGAGAGGTCGGTGGGGTGGGCAAGGTTTGTCCAACTGAAAATCAGCAGCCCTACAGACAGGCCTGTCAGTAGAGGCCCTGGACTCCTTCTCTGGAGGCCCATGAGAAGTCACCTCCGCCTTAGTGGTAGTTTTAGGAATCCAGGATTTGTCCTAAGCCATGACTACGAAGTACAATAAGGAACCTGAAATCAAAGTCCCAAGCCCCACAGGGGTGGTAACTCCTCCATCACAGGCTTCTGGAGCGAGATGAGAGAGACTGGATTCCCATCGTCTGCTGGGAATGTGGGGCCTCTGGCTCCAACTGCCTACGATTTCCTAAGCAGTAGAGAGGAACAGCTCAGAGCACTGGGAATGCCAGGCGAGAGAGAAGTTGAGTCCTGAAAAAATGAACAGGTAAAGACAAATATGTTTCTGTCTACACATTGTCCTACTTCTAGGCTGCTGCTGACACCTCGGGAATTCTGACCATCCTGTGTTAGGCCCCAGAGACCTCTGATCAGCCTGCAGAGTGGCCCTCCATAACTGCTGCAACATGGCAACCACCAAGCCTATCTGAGAATGCTATCATTAAACTTCATCCTGAGCTTCATCTCCCCAGCTGCCAGCCCAAACACAAAAGCTACCTGCTGGGTTGGAATACACTTTGTGGCTGGCTACCTCCATTTCTCAGAGAGTCCTTTGGGGGAAATTCCCAGGTCTCGCTTACCCTTCATACTTTAGAGATGCCAACACTAAGACAGAGAATTTCTCCAGAAGATCCGAAGCTCACTGGCCAGTAAATAATAAAGGGTTGTTCCAGTGCCTACCCAAGCTAGACAACATTAGGCTCTTGAAGCAGCAGGGGCAAGACTCATCATCTCCTCAGAGGCCCACAGCAGAGGTCTGGGGACTGAAACAGGCTCCCTTATGTACAAGAGATTAATGCAAACAGTTTCTGTAGAAACAGTACTGCCTCCCAGGAGCATAATCTGAAGCAACTAAATTCTCGTTTAGGATCCAGTTCTCCAGAAGGTCAAGCCATAATGTCTCGTAGGGTCCCTAGGGCCCAAATGCCCATAGTAACAGGACAGTCCCTGTGGGGAGAACTACGTTTGGAGCACTTTGAAAAGGTTCTAGGCATAGAAAGGTTGTAGACAGCCTTTTTCTCCTGGGAGAAGTTGTCTCTGCCTCCCAGGCTAGATGAGCTGGACTTTCTCTATGGTCCCATGGCTACCTATGTCTTCCAGCTCTGAACTCCTTGAGGCCATCACCTTTGTTCTCGTTTGTCTTCCTTCTTCCACAGACTGTTAGTTCTCAGAGAGCCAGGATACTATGTTCTTGAGCCTGGAGCAGAGTACACCACACCAACCGTGATTATTAAAGGCAATTTTTCCCCTCCTTCCTTTCTTCCTCCTTCCCTCCCTCCCTCTCTCTTTCTCTTTGAGACAGGTTTTCCTTGCATAACCCTGCTGGCCTCGAACTCAGAGATCCGCCTTCTTCTGCCTCCTGAGTGCTGCGATTAAAGGCAGTATCACAACCGCCCGGCTGAAGGCTATTTTTTTTTTTTTCTGTGCCCAGGATCTCAGTCTCTGAAAAATCTCCATCGAGATTGGGGTAATGGCTCAGTGGGTAAAGTGCTTGCTGCACAAGAATAAGAACTTGCCTTCAGACTAAGGCAACAGCCAGGTAAAACGCTTGGGGTGGCCACCTACACAAGTTGTGCTTGGGAGGCGGGGAGAGGAGAATCCGTGGAAACTAGTTAGCTAGCTAGTCTCATTAAATACCTGAGCTGCTACAGGTTCAAGGAGAGACCTTGTCTTCAAAACTTGGGTGGAGACCTATGGCCTCCGCGCGCGCGCAAAACACGCGAAGTGTGTGTGTGTGGTGGGGAGAAGAAAAGAATTACAGCTTGTCAGAATTAACTCCACTCTCCGAGCCTCCGGTGCGCCAGGGGGCGCTGTAAGATGACCTATTCAGACTCTGGGGCTTCAGTCCCCGGCGCCACCCGCGGGATGGGCTCCGAGGTAGCTCAGCTGCTGGAGGCTGCTGACTTCGCCGCTCAGAAGCACCGACAGCAGCGACGGAAAGATCCTGAAGGGACTCCCTACATCAACCACCCCATCGGTGGGCGCGCCGGTTGGGAAGCAGTTCTCGCGGCGCGTGGCGGGTGGGGACTGACTGGGACCGGAACACAAAGGGTGTACAGATTATTGAGCGTCTACTGAGTCCCAAGCTTTGTGTCAATCACTTTTCATGCGTTATGCCGTGCAAGCCCCACCTGGGGCAGTAGACGGGATTGCCCTCTTAGTACAGTCGGTATCCCAAGAGGGTAAGGGACTTTGCAAGGCCAGCTGGTGAGGGGGCTACATCTGGCTCTCCATTGTGGCTCCCTCTAGTCTGATTTCTGCTTTGCCCCTGTCAGGTGTGGCCCGGATCCTAACCCATGAGGCGGGAGTCACTGACGTTGTGGTGTTGCAGGTAACTTTACTCTTCTCTGCCAGGAGGCTGGTGTAGGGATTAAGAGTACTGTTGAACAATGGGTGCCCTTTGACTGGTAGGAGGCTAGTGTCACTGGGCTGAATGGGAGCCTATCCCTAGGCGGCCCTGCTCCACGACACAGTAGAAGACACAGACACTACCCTGGATGAGGTAGAGCTGCACTTTGGAGCACAGGTTCGGCGTTTGGTGGAGGAGGTAACAGATGACAAGACTCTGCCCAAACTGGAAAGAAAGCGGCAACAGGTAGAGCAGGCACCCCACAGCAGCCCAGGGGCCAAACTGGTGAAGCTGGCAGACAAACTATACAATTTGAGGGACCTGAATCGCTGCACCCCTCAAGGTATGCTCCGCTATTGGCTCTGAGGGGAGGGGAAGGGATGCCCAACTTCTAAAAACACATTTTGGTCAATTTCCCAGAAATAAGGGGTGGGTGGGGTTGGGGGTGGTCTTAATGCCTCAAACTAAACCTGGAACGACTCTTCTATCAAAAGTGGGAGAAGTTGGTGGTCATGGAGAAGTTGTCAGGTCATCCCGTCACAACTCATCTTACGGCCTTGTACCAAAAGCCCTGCAGGAAAACAGGCAAAAGCCAAAGCTGGCCTTGACATCCCATGAGCGGGTTTCTGTCCACTCTTGTGCAGGATGGTCAGAACAGCGAGTCCAGGAATACTTCGAGTGGGCAGCACAGGTGGTGAAGGGGCTTCAAGGAACGAACCAGCAACTGGAAGAGGCACTAAAGCAGCTGTTCGAGGAGCGAGGGCTGACTCTTTGAGCGGTGTTTGGTGACATGCATGGCTCCAGCAAGGCCCAGCAAAATGGGATTCTTACTGTTGCTTTCAGAGCCAACCCCATCTCTCACATTCCTTCACCCAACGCATACATTACAGGCTAAAAACGTCTGCATTTTCTTACTCAGCTGAGCCCCAAATATGGAAATCAGATATACCCATGTACTCACAGCCTTTCCTCAAGTCTTGGGTCTTTCTGTTCGCTATTTTACATGGTAGGACCTCTGGCCCCTCAGGGACTTCGGATTGTGTAAACTTTGGTTTGTAAGCCATGGAAAATAAAGTACTTAGGGTAAAGTTTAAATTGCTGTTCCTCCTTCCCTGGTTTCCTGAGTGAAGAATCCACACCCCAGATATTGGCTTCCAACTATGTGGCCCTTGCAACAGCTCCCTTGGGTTGAGAGCATCAACCCTTGGAGCATGGCGTCCTTATCACTGAGCTGGATTGTTATGAAGTCAGGTGATGTAGGTCAGTGATCTGGAAAGTTCCCCTACCGCAGATATACTGGTAAGGAATGCCACCACTTACGGCTGGGAAGAACAGAAATCCCAGTAACGTGAAAAGGCCTGTAAGACCTCAGTTCCCCCGTACACAAACTCAGCGGGTGCTCAGTAATTTGTAGCCTATGCCTTGGCCCTTAAAGATAATTTCCTTGGTTGCTAAGCGGCAAGAGCTTCCGGGGTGCCCGGAAGTTGCCCTGACGTTGCCTCACCGGTGGAGGTGGGTGGGGTCTGGAGGAGGGCCGGTGGGAGCGGTCCACCAGCTCTTTTTTGCAAGGGAGGAGGGGGGAACGGAGATGCCCGTAAACTGCTGAGGATTTTTTGGTTATATTTTTGTGTTTGTGTGCTCGCGTGCGGACGTCCCCACTATGGGTGTGGCAATCAAACCACAATTTGGGCAAGTTGGGTTTCGCCCTCCTACGTGCGGGCGGGCTTGTGCCTTTACCCAGTGAGCTATCTCGCCTTCACCTGCCCCTTTTTTGAGGGGCGGGGGGCAGGCTCTCACGCAGCCCAGACTGATATACAAAAGTCGACAATCTTCCTGCCTCTGCTGGGGTTACACACTGCTCAACTCCTCGAAGTCTTAAATCTCATCAGCCATACAAGAATCTATAGTTTTTACACTGAAGCTAATGTTGAGCTCCCGGATCACAGGCGCACACCTTACGAGGCATTCCTCACCCTTCTGGTTCATTAATCTTTAAGCCCGTTGGCCTCCAGGGCTGGCCCTTCCGGCTTTATTTTTGCCTTTGGCGCAGTGTGCAGCAGCAGTCTTTTCATGCTTCTCCTTCAGTCGAGTTGCTCATGTGGGTGTGGGTATCTTTGGCTGTTCTGATCCCCACCTCCCCACCCCCAGTGTCTCTAACAGACAAGCCTGGGTGTTCTTTTTTGGTCTCTGAGTAATGTTCAGAGCAAACAGGAAGGAGGCAGATGGGGTCTTTAGGAGCACTGGGGGTTTCCGCCTTCCTTAGCGCCTTTGGGTGGGACAGAATTCATCTCCAGGGCACAGTGAGCTTTATTACTTTGGACTATACCTTCAAACTTTGACTTTTCCTTTGCAGAAGCAGTCCATCTTTTGAAACAAGAAACACCCCCCCCCCCCCCCCCAGCTCAGTGAAGTTGACTAAAGAGTCAGGAGTGTTTCTTATGCTATTCTACAGAGCAAGATTGCACGCAGAAAGTGTTTGAAGACATTTGCCCCATGGCTGTTGGGGTTTCCTTGACCCAGGCTGGCAAGAAACACCTCTGCCTGAAGCAAGCTTTTCCCTAGCCCAGCAGATTCTTCCTTCCCAAGGTGAACTAATTTGCCTCCCTCTTTTTTTGTTTTCAAGACAGGGTTTCTCTTTCTCTGTGTAGCTTTGGTAGTTAGCTTTGGCTGTCTGGAACTCACTCTGTAAATGAGGCTGGCCTTGAACTCACAGATATTCATCTGCCTCTGCCTCCTGAGTGCTGGCAGTAAAGGTGTGCACCACAAGGCCTGGCCTCTTTCTTTTACAATGGCCATCATTCCCCTACACTATCGAGGATCCTGTATAATCAAACCACCTTCCACAGGTCCCACCTCTCAATAGTATTTCATTGAACGATAGATGGACACACATATTCAAACTATATCATGCCATGCTTACAAAGAAACCCAAGTGTTTCTTCCTCCAAGGGACTTTCTTACCTGCCATTATCTCTAATCTTCAACTGTGTCACACTGTACATGTTACAAAGTCATCATCACCAGCCCACCTTGGGCTTCCTGTGTGCAGGCTATCCTAATCAACCAGGGAGTCCAAAGACAGGAGCTGTGATAGACCCAGTCTGGACTTTACTTACCACTGGGCCTAAACAGAACCACTGGATGATCTAGTCTCTCCTGTCATCTCTGTGTGAGACTTGACCTTTACACACATTTTTGTTAGGAAAGAACCAAAATTTTCATAGATCTCTAGTCGAACAGTAAGTCTCACCTTCACTACATTAATTTTTTTCCCTCTTTGTGTTTGTGTGTGGGAAGCTAGTGTTTGAGACAGGGTCTCAATGTTGCTGAAGCTGGCTCTAAACTCCTGCCGCTGCCCCCACAGTAGCTGGAACGTAAGCACCTAGCTTCACAAGGACCTTCTAAGTAACCACCAGGACAGTTCTAAGCACTTCCAGTTGAAGTTAGAGATGCTGCTGTCCAGAATTCCTGCTTCTTTTTCTACATGCCCCGAGGAAGGCAGATCCAGTCCTATGTGGGTCTGGACTCCCTGCAAGAGGATGAAACACCTTACACTCAGCCCTCTCTTCTTCATGGAATGGATGTGTTTCAGTGAGGAAGTCCTTCCCTTTCTGGTCATTGATGTTGTTTTGTTGTGTCCTGTTCCACTGTAGATTGTTATCCTCATACTAGCAAGGCCTCGGTGCCAGAGCTCTGGACAAGGGCTGCTGCTTGCCTTTAAATAATATGCACGCACTGGGCCGTTACTGAGACCAATTTGTGTCAGGTTATGGTAGCATGCACCTGTAATCCCACACTTGGGAGGTTGAGGCAAGAGGATTTTTGTAGTTGGAGGCCAGCTTGTGCTACCTGTCTCAGGGGGAAAAAAAAAGAGAGCCAAAAACAACAAAACAAAACCCCCCAAAAAATAAAAACAAAGGAAATTCTTTGGCCCTGATTCCAGAAGTTGCTTCAAAGGCTACACCAGGAGTTGGCTTTTTCCTCCCGTGCTCTACAGCAAGCTTTTGTTTCTTGATTCAGTGACATGTGGCCCTGCCTGCACATCACTACAGCATGCAGACTCAACAAACAGCCCTATGGAGGGCAGGACAGAAACCTGCACTTTCTAGAAGCAACTCTGCTGGCTGGACATTCTGAACAATACTGCTCTAAGTAACATTTAAATATGCAAACACCAGCAGGGCATATGGTGCATACCTGTGAGCCCAGAACGTGGGCAGCAGAAGTAGGAAGATGACAAGTTCAAATCCAGTGTGATTCTCTATGGCAAGTCTGGGTTAGTCAGGGATATATTACAAGAACCCCCCTCAAAACACTTTACTGTGCATCTAACACCTCCAACCAGTATCCTTTATTCTGCTAATTTCCTAGGGGTTCACAGCGTCTCCCCTATCATTTGACTACAAACCATATACCAGCTTAACGCTTGCTGTAACAGTGGCTTCATGTTCTTTCCTAACAGGTTTAGGCAGTCAGGACAGAAACTTCTGCCTACACTTGTCTATAGCCCAAGCTCTATGCTAAGCACTTCCTACTCATCTTATTTCTTTCACCAAAACGTGACTAGGAATCCATGGCCTGTGCCTGGCTGCATGTAGTCTGGAGGACCTGCAAGAACTCAGCCCTGTCACTGTTGGATCTTTGCGTGACCGCTGGGCAGACCCTAGTGACGTCCTGAGGAGCCAAGGCAGGCTTTTCTCCTGCAGTGACCATTCGCTACAGACACCTGTTCCCTATAACATGCTTTCTTTTTTTGTGTGGCAAAACCTGTTTTAGTCTTTTCCCCTATTATGTGTTAAAGTTTCATGTTATGTCTAGAAAAACCTTCCTACATCAGATATAAAAATATATTTCCTTGCTGGGTGTGGTGGCACACGCCTTTAGTCCCAGCATTCAGGAGGCAGAAGCAGGTGGGGATCTCTGTGATTTTGAGGCTGGCTTAGTCTACATAATGAGTTCCAGAAAAACCAGAGCTACATACATAGTGAGATCATATATATGTATGTATGTTATGTATGTATGTATATATGATATGTATGTTTCTTGAATAATTTTTTGTTTTGTTTTTCCCCTCCAGGGCTGAGGTTTGAAAAACTGAGGTAGAGTTTCAACTAACAGCAAGTTGTCACAAAGAACTATTTATTAAACGATCCATCTCCCTGTCCCTGCACTCTGTGTGCCTGGGTGTGTCTCTCTGACTGCATGATGACTACATTCATGCTGGCAGAAGAGTCCAAGCCTTTGAGGACTCTGTAAGACAAGTGCCTTTTGCCACGTTGGGGCCACCAGCCATACATTACCACTGCCATTCAGAGCTGCCTCACACCCTCATCCTGTACTTTTCTAAAGCAACGTCAGAACTGGCAGGGTTCCAAGAAGTCTCCACTCTTGCTGGAATTACATTGATTTTATGGGCTAATGTGGGTAGAACTGGTGTTTACAGGAGCATGGACAGCATTCAGGCAACTCACAGAACACCTTGCTGTGTCTTCAGTTGACACTGGTTTCTTAGGTAGCTTATGGTTTAAAACAGTGGCAGTCATGGTTCTTCCTTGTCTCTGAATCTGCTGAATTTCAAGGGTTAGTGACCTGGGACCCTGCTAAATAACAGCATGCCCCCAGCTAGTTTCTGACTCTCAGGAGAGAGCCTGTGCTGTTTGGTTCTTTGGGTGCTATAGTTTACTGGTGACAGGGACCTTTATCTAGTATGGTGCTTCTTTCTAGTCTTGACTTACTAAGTTTTCATAAGGGACGAAGTTTCACTTTTACCAACTTTCTTTTCTTTTTTTTTTTTGGTTTTTTTTTTTTTTTTTTTGGTTTTTCAAGATAGGGTTTCTCTGTGGCTTTGGAGGCTGTCCTGAAACTAGCTCTTGTAGACCAGGCTGGTCTCCAACTCAACGAGATCCGCCTGCCTCTGCCTCCCGAGTGCTGGGATTAAAGGCGAGTGCCACCAATGCCCAGCTCTTTTCATCATTTATAGACAAATTCTCTACTAATTGAAGGTAAAATGAAGGCTCATCCAAGCATACAGACTCCTAATTTTGTCTCCAACTTCTTCGTCCCACATACCAGGAAGGCAATATTTCTGCAGATGGAACAAAGATGAACCTTCTCCACCTGCCACTGGACCCAGCATGGGATGTTTCCCAAGATGCCCAAGCACAGAAGTCTTGGAAGCTCCATTTCCTTTCTAGGGAAAGGAACTTTGCCAGGAACCTTATGATAGGAACTCCTGAGGAGAGTGGTGTGTGACATAAAGAAGCAGGGAAGGTGGGAGACACTTCTCACCCCTGCCACAAATCAACACATCACCAATGACCAGCATAGAATGGGTGTGGGTACCTGAAGTGTTCTATGGCCTCTGGCCTTGATTTAGAGTCTCAAGCCAGTCCTTCCTGCCACCCAGCAGTCACTAGCCAGGGCATACAAGCCCAGTGGCACTAAAAGCAGAGGCAGAGCAGAAAGCAGCAAAGCCTTTAGGCTCTTGGGAGAGCTAGGGACCCCTTCCACTCCTCTATTCCACTAATAATGAGTCTCTATGCCCCTTCTCCCAGAGTCACCCTGCTCCTGTGACTCATAGTAGGACATGTGGGGTCTGTGTCACCATAGGGCCCCCCTAGAGCTAGCTCGTAACTGCAGTCACCTGGCACTGGGCTGTTCCTCTCAGCCTCCTTGACCTCTTCTGTTTGCCTCCACTCTTCCTACATCCCATTTTGGGAAAACAATGGGAGCCTGAGCCTGTGCCCAGCTGGGCACCTACTCACAACCCAGAAGCAGCAATAGACAATGTAAGGGCAGAGCAGTCTGTCATAGTTCTGAGAGGCAGAACAGGACATGATACCAGTGTGGCTTGTCAAACCCGATCTTGGTGTTAAGAGTGGTCTCTGTGGATAAACTTTCTCTTCAGGCCACAAGAAGTCCTAACCTAACCCAAGCGGAGGCGGAAGGTGCCAATTTCCATGGGCTCCAGGAAGATGTCAGTGCTGTTGGAGGGTGAGGCCAGAGGATACAGCAAAGTCAAAGAGGTTGGCTGCAGGAATACCACATCCAGGCCACGGAATAGGCTTCCCAGGGCCAGCTGTGAAGAGAGAAAGGCAGGCTGAGCTGGGCACTGCTAACACTGGGTTAAGTTCTTCCTTATATCAAGTACCACCGTTTAGTTATTTTTAAGACAGGGCCTCACACTGTAATTCAAGGCTGCCCTCAAACTCACAGCAATCCTGTCTCAGTCTCCTTAGTGCTAGGATTATATTGTGAGCTGCCACACCCAGCTCTCTTGTCAGATCCTTAGAGGTAAAGTAGTACTCAATGGTGACACACAATTGCAACTCTTGGGAGGTAGAGTCGGTGGCTCAGGAGTTCAACTCAGCTTTGGCTACATAGGAAGGTTGTATCCAGCCGACATAACCCCTTGTCCCAAAGATAAAATAAGATGAATAGATACAAAAAGAAAGAAGGAAATGATCTCACATAAGCTACAGTCCTCTCAGAAGCAACAAGCCTCAGACAGGGCTTTGCTGCAATCTACTCAAGTCCAGGGCCTGTCCAGGCACCTCGGTGCAGGAACTGTTACACCAAGCTGTGTTTGAGAACGAGGACTGTTTCTGGGTTCACTTCTGAGTCACCAGAGCAAGCCAAGTGCCACCATTACTAATGCTTCAAAAGGGGCAGCAGTTATCATTTCTCTTGTTTCCCATTTTGCTCAATTCAGGTCCCTCCTCCAGTTTTCTAGTTCCCTGCCTTATCTGAAACTGCTCCTACCCAACTCAATACTAAAGACACTCAGCCTCCCCTTTGTCTCTGAGGAGACCTGAGGTTCCACCTTCTCTCATCCAACTGCCAACCCCCATCCAGCCTCCCTCTAAGCTCTCAGCTCTGCTACTGCAGAAAGCCCAGCTTCACTGTCCTGACAAGGGCCCCTGCCAGGCCCCCACACCTGGGCCCTGCTCACCTTGCCCTGGCTTGTGGTACAGTTGAAGCCCAAGTTCTTGGCCTCAAGGCCACAGTCAAAACCCTTGCGGTGCAAGATGAGTGCAGCATCAGCTGAAGGCAGGGTGTCCTGGAAAACAGTCAAGAGGCAAGAGCAATGGAGGGTCAGCAGCCCTTCTGCCCAAGGCAAGGCCAAACACAGAAGAGGTGGGGGGAAGGCCAGCACCTGGTGGTGAGGCTTAGCACCCACTGGAACACTTACCTCAGCTGGGATCGTGCGCAGATTGAGCAGATGGAAGTCACAGGGCAATGGGGAAGTCAGAGGGTGGAAAGAGCGCAGAGTGGAGCTAGTGACCTGCTTCTTGGCCACGGGCAAGGCGAGTGGAGGCATGTTGAGATACATGGAAGTCAGGTGGCTGAGGAGGGACGGGTAGCTGGTAGAGCGCTCATCTTGAACCTGCAAGGTGGACCGAAAATGTAGGTGAGGGAGCAGAGCCAGGCTAAAGGCTGAAGAGGAGACAGGCCAGATCTTTTCAGAACAGCTTTCCTGGTTCACTTGGACTCTGGCTACCTGGCTCCAGGCCCCGAACCTCCAACCTTCATGAATGGCTAATTCTCATGGCACTTAACTTAGACAGGGTTGTGTTACTAAGCCCACTTCTATGTTTTCCTTTGTGGCTTCTTTAACACTATCATAAAGAATGTACTCTCTCATTAATGCTGTCACCCCACACAGAGAGGAGTAAGAATGGACAACAGAGATACATGTTTCACTATGGACAGGCTTCTGATAGTGACAGTGTTTTAACTATCCCATGGTAAGATGCCACATCCACAGTGCCAGCCTGACACTCAGGTCCACCAGCTTGAGCTAGTGAAACTACTCCTCAGGTGGCTCCCAGGATGCCACATTCACATGGCATCCACATTTCTCCACAGCCACTACATTTCTGCATGCTGATCCCTGACCCTGGCACTACCCTCTGAGTACCCTATATACAGGCTTCCTTCACCCTTCAAGCCCAGACAGGCCTAGTCCTTTTCCATTTTGCTTCTGCAATGTCTTCAACACAGACTATCACTTCAACTTGTTTTCCTACCCTTGGCTTAATTCAAGTCACTAAGGCTTCCTGTCTCAACATCTTGAAACTGTCATCCCTTCCTTGTCTCCCCACAGAGTCACTCTGCTGCTCACAGTCCTGATAGCTGAGGGAAAATCCTGACAGCACCCCTCCCTATTCAAGACCTTCCATGGTCTCCAGACTCTGGCCAGGCACCCGAGATCTCTGCAGCCTGCTCTGCCCCTCCCTCCCACCATGCTCTAGGCCAGCACTGGCTCATGGAGTTTTCTAAAATAATGGAAACACCATCTGCCATGCCTTCTGTGATAACTATGACCACCTGGAACCACTGGGGACTTAAATGTAATTTTAAAACCATTGATTATTATTAGTGTGTGTGTGTGTGGGGGGGGTTGCCTACATATATGTCTGCACACTTCACATATGCAGTGCCCCTGGAGACCAGAACACACTGTATCCCTTGAACTGGAATTACAGATGGCCCTGAAATGTCTGCCCAGTGAGTGTTGAGGACCAAAGCTGGGTCCTCTGCCAGAGCTGTCAATGCTCTTAACCACTAAGCCATCTCTCCAGCTCCCTGTAATTTTTTTCCTCATTGTTCTGAGACAGGACCTTACAATGTATCAGCTGCCCTAGAACTCCCTTTGCAGACCAGGCTTCACCCTCATAGAGATCTCCCGCCTCTATCTCCTGAATGCCAGAGCTGAAGAAATGTGCCACCACACCTGGCCCAAGGAGTGTTGTTAGTGTGAGTGAAAGCCTCAACTTATTTCAAGTATAGTGATATACTCCTACAATTCTAACCCCCTGGGAAATGGAGGCAGGAGGATGAAGGCTAGCCTGGGCTACATGAGACCTTGTCTCAAAAAAACAGGTAACTAGGCATAGTGGCATATGTCTGTGGTCTTGGCTACTGGAAGGGTGAGACTAGAAGCTCACTTGAACTCAGAAGTTCAAAGCCAGCCTAGGCAACAGTGAGACAAAAATCAAGGCTAACCAAAGATAACCCTGAGGTTATCCTCACTAAATCAAGAGGGCAACCCAAGCTATATAAGTCTCTCTCTCTCTCTCTCTCTCTCTCTCTCTCATACACACACACAGACACACACAAGACTGGAAACTTAGCTTAGTGACAGAACACTTGTCTAACATGTGCAAAGACCTGGGTTCAATCCAAGTACCAAAAACTGGCCAGCACATGAGGATGGTGGCTGCCATGCTCATCAGCACTGCTCTACTCTGAAGTCACTAATCTCCCTTTCACACTGTCATCACTCCCTTCTACTTTGTGCATGGTTCCCACTCATTACAGCTGAGCCTGGTGACTGCTGTTTCAGGAAGCCATCTTCCACCGTAGGCCCAACGAGACCCCACTTCTACCCTAAACTCAGAGCAGCTCTTCAACCCTGCTCGCTAGTAGGGCCCAAGGGTGGCAGCACATTGGCCCATATCCTTTAGTTCCCATAGCATAGCAGGGGCTCAGCATCTACATAAGGAATAAGTGACTAAGCCACACCTGCAGGGTGCTAGGCAGCAGACTCCAACTACAGGGCTAGACTGCTCACCCTAGGCTACCAAGGCCCTCGCTGACCCTTACCTTTGGGCTCCTGACCGTGTTGCTGGAAAAGATCAAGCCCCTAAACATGGCTGCCAGTTTGGAGGAAAAACCAGGCTGGTAAGGTAAAGAAAGCCAAGAGATGAGCAGGGTTGTGTCAGGGCTAGGAAATGCTCAGGCTAGAGGAGGGAGGATGAGATTAGCAAAAAGAAAGGCAGAAGATGAACATGACAGGGGCAAAGGGACAGGGTGTGGCTGGGAAGGGACTGCCAAGCTACATGAGATGGACCAGCAAATGCAATATAGCCTCCTGGTTCAATGCAGGAAATGAGCTGTACTGTCTGCCCTCTGCCCTCCTCCAGCTACATTTGGGAACCCGCAGGGTCACCCACAGGGTTGAACCTACACTAGCTCACCAGACAGTGGGCCCAGATTTTACCTCACGGCTCATGGTTCTCCGTTCTAACAGGAGGCGGAAGCGGTTGCAGGTGACCTTGTTGTCTTTGAGCCCTTGGCCTAGACCCCGGTTGTCATCCTGCATTAGTCGTCGGTCCAAGATCACCTCCAGCTGGCCTGGGGAAGTTAACAGTGAGCTCCAGTTTGCCAAACCCAGGTCTAAGCAGACGCAGGCCTTGGGAGCAGACACTCCACCTCAGGTACTCAGGGGAAAGGGCCAGTGACACAGACAAGCTGAGTCACTCAGAGGAGAGAATGATGGACCTGAGTACTGGTAGAGCAGTGAAGGTGTCTCGCCTTACTTCTTTAGGTGAAGAAACAGGAGGCCTAGAAAGGGGAGCACTGAGTTCACCTCGGTGACTCAGGACTAGGACTTGGGCCCTGGGCTTAGGCCAGCAGGAAACCTTTTGGGGACAGGCCACATAGAACACAGGAAACAGAAGCTGGAAATCTGAGAGAAGCCTGTCTGCCATACTGCTGCAGAGTCCCTCATCTGAGTGTGGGCTTTCTCAGGCTGGATAGACTCATAACTGCCTCTTGCCTCTGCTCTACCTGGCATCAGCTAGAAGGACCAGCAGCCCAGATTGGAGTGGATGGCCTTGTCTGTCAGAAGCAGGCTGTGTCTGAGGACAGGCAGGAGGCATATGAGGTGAGGCTCAGCAAGTCCTCTCCAGTAAAGAGGACCACCTCTGTTCCCATTTGGATTACGCTTGGAGGAGGGTCTCACTGCAAAGCTGATGGATGGGTGTGAGGACAGAAAGGCTTTCACCACAGTGACCCACAACAGCTTTCCCCACAGATGGCCAAGTTCCCTTTCATCTCTATAGTCTTTACTTTGATTTCTGTAGTCTCTTTGGCTTTGTACTCTGAGCAGACACAGGAAGCTATCCCCAACCCTAAAATAGGTTCCATACATAGAACACAATCATTCCTTAATGCCCTATGTCCCAGAGGGGCACACAGCTGACTAAGCAAGGACAATGGGCTGCATTCAGACAGACAGATCCAAAAAAAATCCTGGCAGAGGGCAGGAGAGCCTCACTCCTCCCATAGAGGAAGCAGGCGCAACACTTACCTTAATCTTGCACTCGGTTCAGCCCTCTCAATCTCTATCCCCCACAGACAGAAAGACCTCTAGGGCCGAGAGTCCATAAATCACCGCTCATCTTGTCCCAAGGCTATGGAGATCACTGCGGGTAGGGGGAGCTTTCACCTTGACCCTGACAACTTCTCATTTTCTCCAATACTGAGGAGGGAATCTCATGCCTTGCTCACACTCTGTGAGTGTTCCATCACAGAGCTAAGTCTCCAGACAACAAAGTCTTGCTAAATTGCCCAGACTGAGCTTGGATTTGGGATCCTCCTACCTCAGCCTCCAAGGAGCTGGGGTCACATGTCTGTGCTGCTAGGCCCAGAGATCTTCGTTTGATAGTTAAGAATGTCAGCCTTTCTTTTACTGACCATTAGGAGGAGATATGTATATTTCCCCTTTCCTAAATATTACACTGTAACCACTTGCCTGGTGGTGGCCCTGCTTTTAATCTCAGCACTCAAGAGGCAGAGAGGTAGGTGGATCTCTACGAGCTCAAGGCCAATCTGGTCTATTGAACAAGTTTCATAACAGCCAAGGCTACAGAAAAACACTGTCTCAAAAATAAAAAAAAAGGAAGAAAGGAAGGAAGGGAGGGAGGAAGGAAGGAAGGAAGGAAGGAAGGAAGGAAGGAAGGAAGGAAGGAAGGAAGAAGAGCTGTACCCCCCAGCTGAGAACAACCCTTCAATGCCACAGCCCAAATGTGACTGACAGGAACTGTAGATGGCTCACCCCCTTCTTCAGCTTTGGGGTGATGGGGTCTTAGAGAGAGGGGAAGGAAGCCTTTCCCCAGTGGACTGGCTGGAGCCAAGGGTAGGCTGGTTCCCTACTCACCATCACCGAGGCTGGAGACACCCAGAGCCTGTGCAGTGTACAGTGTGAGGCGCCTCTGTGCATCTTGGATGTAGGCCATGACTGGCATGGGGTAAAAGTTAGCCTGCAGGGGCAACTTCTTCAGATATCGCCGGGGCTGTACCTATCAGGAGAAGTTCAAGACCAGGTAGGAATGGTGTCTGATTTGTGTTCTGAAAGCTTCTCAGTGTGAAGGCATTCCTGGTTATTACTATTATTTTTTTTTTATTTGGTTTTTCGAGACAGGGTTTCTCTGTGTAGCTTTGGAGCCTATCCTGGCACTTGCTCTGGAGACCAGGCTGGCCTCAAACTCACAGAGATCCACCTGCCTCTGCCTCCCGAGTGCTGGGATTAAAGGCGTGCGCCACCAACACCCGGCCCTGGTTATTATTTTTTGTTTGCTTTGTTTTTATTGTGTTTTTTTGATACAGGGTTTCCTTGGGTAGCCCTGGTTGTCCTGGAACTTGTTCTGTAGATCGGGCTGGCTTCGAACTCGGAGATCTACCTGCCTCTGCCTCCTAAATGCTGGGATTAAAGTCATGCACCATCACTGCCTGGCTATTTTTTAAAATTGTGTTTTTGTGTATAATGTGTGCGCATGGGTGTATGTATGTGTATAATGTGTGTACATGGGTGTATGTGCCACAGCACACACGTGGAGGTCAGTGGAGAACTCTTTGGAATGGGTTCTCTCCTTCCACCTTTATCAGGGTTCCAGAAATCGAACTCAGGTTGCCAGGCCTGGTCAAGAGCCTTTATCCATTGAGCTATCTCAATGGCCCCATATTTGTCACCAGTCCTTGGCACCCTCCCCACAGCACTTATACTGGGAGGCCCAAAGCAGTCCAAGTTCTGTTCCACAGGGCCCAAGAATTACCTGAAAGCCATTGAGGTCTGTGAAGAAGGTACCCTGGCTATCAATGTCCGTGTGGATGCGCAGGGCCAGCTCTTTGTTCACATAGTCCCTGATGTCTACCAGGATTGCCATGTCCAGAGACAGTCCCTCCACTCCTGGACACAGGAACAGCCAGAGATGAGGTGAGCACAGCCTGAGAGACTATGCCAGGGAGCTCCCAGGACAGGTTGACTGGATTTTTCCTCAAGAGATCAAGCATCCCATGTCAAATGACACAACTCTTGTCAACAGAGATGGGGCAAAAGAACAGGTGCCAGACTGTGGAACTTACACTCCTTGTGACCGTCCCCTCCTGCAGGGCTCACCTGGCAAGTTGTAAAGTCGAATCACTTGGTGAAAGTGCTCGTAATAGGCAGCCACCTCTGAGAAGAACGGGCCTTCGGTGACACGCAGCACAGGAGAGTTCTTGGGGACGTAGGGCTGGAAAAAGAGCAAGTGACCACTGAAGCCACAGCACAGAGTCCAAAGTAACAGTACCAACCCAGAGGAAGGCAACAGAAGTCCTTGTCCCAGTGCTGTGGCTGGGCCCAGGCCCACAGGTGGCCTGACCACCTGTGCTGAGCAGGTGCAGAAGCGTGGTTTAGACCACAGCCCACCAACCTCCACAAGGCAACGAAGACAAGGCCAGGAGGGCAGGACACAGTAGGCAGTGACCACTTAAGGGATCCCATGTCCCTCCCAGGCTCTCCCCACCCACAAGGGCCACCAGGTTCTACAAGGCATCTGAGGTACCTTAGCCTCGCTATCAGGCAGGAAGAGGTAGGCACCACTCTTATCTTTGGATGTCCGGGTACCATAGATGAGGAGCTTCATGTCTATCTGCTGTTCCTGCTCCTCATCCACCCTTCGGATGCTCTGCCAAAAAACACAGCCCTGACCCCTGGCCCCACACCAGCATGTCAGGTCTCCCCCTGGGAGGGCATGGATTGACTACCCCCAAGGAGCCAAGCCCAGTGCTACAGTTGGAATCTTAGGGTCCCCCATAAGGTCTGTGTGCTAAGGGCTTATCCCCAGACTGCTGCTACTAGGCAAGGTTGGGGACAGTGGGACTCTACCACTTCCCTTCCTCCCTTCTACTCTTTCTTTTCTTCCTTTCTTCCTTGCTTTCTTTCTTTTTTTGACAGGGTTTCTCTGTGTAGACCTGTCTTGTCCTAGAACTCAATCTGTGGACCAGGCTGGTCTTGAATTCACAGAGATCCGCCTGCCTCTGCCTTCTGAGTGCTGGGATTAACAGCATGAGCACCACCACCTAACTCCAACTTCTCTATAAACTTTTTTGAGACAAGGATCTCATGTAGTCCAGGTTAGCCTCAAACTTGCTATGCAATCAAAGATGACCTTGAACGTCTGATCCTCTTGCTTCTGCCCCCTCCATTGCTGAAATTATAGGTCTGCACCACAGCACCCAACCTCCGCATCCTGGTTGTAAAGTAATGTGTTCCCTGCCATGGCATGCTTGCTGCCTAACTACAGGCCCCAAAGCAATGGGTCTGCCTAACTGTAGGCTCAAAGCTCACAAACTGTAAGCAGAAATCAACCTTCTCTCCTTTCCAAGTCACAGACACAGCAGCAGATGATTAACAACACACTCAGCTTTGCCATGCTGTTAGCTTGAGAGCTGCTAATGCTCACATCCGAGTCTCTGTGAGTCAGGCGATAGGAGGAGCTTGGGGCCAGGACAGTTGTACACAAGCCCCCTGATGCCCGTGCCCTCCCTCCCTTTGGTCCCTCCCACAACCCCTGGCCTGGCCCTTTACCTTGAGGAGCCCAGTAAGGCCGGAGAACCAGACCTGCATGTAGTGATTGCTGATGGCAAAGTCACTGGTGCTGGAGTCCATGACACGGAGAGGGAATGCCGTCTGCCTGGGGACGGACAGCTTCACACCATTCAGGTAGACACGTATGGAAGACGGCACTGTGTAGGGCCCATCAAGGTCCGGCTGCAGCTGCAGCGTACTCAGGCCCAGGGCTGGCAGGCGGATAGGTACCGACACCTGTGGGCCCAGGGGCAGAAAGAAGCAGATGAGCATCAGTCCACACAGGCCGCCTTCTCCCTTCATCCTTGACCTCTGCGTTCTGTTTTCTGAAGCCAGCACAGAACCTTACATTTCTACCTGAAAAAACCCTGTCTGGTTTGGGATCTTGGTTCTGAGTTGCAGTTCATTCTGCATGCCTGTCAGCCAAGGGGCACAGCACTCAGTTGAGAGCCTAGGGTCTGAAGCAGGCTGTCATATACTCTCTGAGCAACCTTAGGCAAGTACCTTAACCACCTCTGTTTCTGGTGAAGCGAGGATTGCATCACTATGTACACTTGAAGAGTTTTTTTTTTTTTTTTTTTTTTTTTTTTTTTTTTTTTTTTAAGGTTTTTTTAAAAAAAAGCGGGGGGGGGGGGGAGATCCCTTTTCCCCCCCCCCCCGGGGTTGGGGTTAAAGGCCTCTGCCCCCCCCCCCCCCCTTTTTTTTTTTTTTTTTTTTTTTTTTTTTTTGGAAGAGTTTAATGAAAGCCAGGAGTGATGGTACATTGTTGTATCCCAACAGTCAGGAGGCTGAACCAGAGGACAGCAAGTTTGAAGCCAACCTGAACTACACAGTGAGGCCTTATCTTTAAAAAAATTCTGAATGAATTAGATATTTAACCACTTAGAGCAGTGCCTGCCATGAACTATACCTGAACATTTATTTCTCATCCATATTACAGATGAAATACATAGTTAAGTCAACACAATAAACCATCATTAGAAGCTTGTGTCCAGTAATTAGAGACCAGGTTGGGCATCATATAAGACCCCATCACAATGAAGTAAACAATGAATACTTGATGAGCAGCTGAGGGCACTATTGTTGCCATCTGCAGTATAATTATTACCACAGTGTCCTCACCATCCTTTTAAAGATACTCAAATCCCAAGAGTGACTATCCTTCGGGCAATGTCTCGCCCCAAGCCACCTGCCTCCATCCTGGGGGGTAAGCAGAGCACAGCAGGGGAGTGGGAAGCAGGTGTTCCTGGGGAGTGAGGCCCCAGGAGAGGTACTGACAAGTAGGGAGGGCTGAGCCCCGCCTTACCTGGTAGACATCAGGGACCATGTTAGTGGCTGAGCTCCAGTGTGCACTGATCTGCACAGACAGGGGCTGACCCTCCTCTGAAAGGACTCGCACCCTTGGGGAGTTGACCAGCAGGGACACCACACTGAGCCGCTCCTGTTCCAGTGGGTTAAATAGCACCACAAACCTGTGGGTGGAAGGTGGGCTGACCCCAGGAGCTTGCTGCAGCGGCAGGACAGAAGCAGCAGCCAGAAGGAGCACCCCCTGCACTGTGGGGAGCTGGAGGGTGCCTCTGGGAACGGGCAGGCCGGACTCACCTGGGTGAGGAATCCAGCTCAATCACTGTGCGCTCCGGCAGGGCATCGTGACTTAAACGACTGTCATCCTGCAATGACATGGGCAGGAAGAAAGAATGATGAGTGCGCTCAACCTCCTCCCCACCCCAACCTGTCCAGGCCATCAACTACCTTGAGCATGGAATCTGCACCCCAAAACAAGGAAGGAAAAAGAGGAACAGTACCCACCAATCGCAGCTCTTGAGGTAGTACCACCCACACCACAAGATCTCTCAAGCAGATGTAGGAGGGACTCACCATTTGAAAGAAGGGTGTACCAGGGTCAAATTCATAGGTTTCCTTGTCGCCCAGCACCAGATAGTGAGCAGCATTGATGATGACCTGCTTCAGGCTAACCAGGGACCGCAGCAGCCTGTGGGGGGCACCAGAGAAAGCTGAGTAAAGATGGCCACTGGGAGGCTGTCTGCAACCAACAGCAGGACCAGCCCTCGGCAGCCTGCCCACCAATCACCCACATATCCACTCTTTGAAATTGTGTGGGGAGTGGAGGTGGCTCCTACCTGACCCCATAGTCTACTACCACCGCCTCCTTGGCAGTTCCAGTGATGGCATCATGGTGCTGGAAGAGCCCCAGTGTGCGCCGAGCTTCCGTCAGAAGAGCAAAATCAGACAGCGGGTACTGGCCAGCCAGTCCAGAGCGGCGGGCATGAGCCACAGCCAAGCTGTATAGAACCTCTGCCCCACTACCCAGAGAAAAAAGTCAGAGTCTTCCTGTTCTGTTCAACCTATGCTCAGGGGCCACCCACACACTGATGGCATCCTTTCTCGCTACACCGCCCCGCCTACACCTCAAAGGTTAACTCGTACTCAGCAAGGGGAGGTGGGCAGCTCTCACCGCAGGTGGGCTTCTAGGACTCGGTCCAAGCTCTTGTAGAAAGGCCGGGATGTGTAATAGCCTGTCCAATAGTGGTCCTCCCGGTCAGCATAGGAGAAGAAATCTCCACTCAGCACAGGAAACCCTGGAGGCCGGGCACCAGGCTCCACTCCTGTCCTCTTATAGAGAGCATCAAAATACTCAGAGAGGGTCCCAAACTGGGCCTGTAGGGACCCAAAGCAAGCGTCCATCAATTACAGAGCCTCCTGGGATCTCTGGCCACCATTCCACAATGCTGCAGGTGTGGGCAGGGGTGAGGACTTTGCCTAGCAAAGGGCAGGAAATCTGTATGTCCTGCTCTTCTGGGAAACTTGGGAATGAATTCTGACCCACACAGGAACCTTGCCCAAGACTGAGAGTGACCTGGAGCCCTCAGCAGCAGGGCTGGTACAGAAGGACTAAGTGCAGCACTGTAGCTGCAGACCCGTCCGCACATGCCTCCCTCCCACCTGCACATGGAGCTCCGGCTTGCTGTTGAGGAAGTCAAAGAGCCGCTGGTAGTTGAAGAACTGGGCATCCCACTCCTGAGGCTTGTCATATCGGAAGTCATCGCCCAGTGGCACAAGGAGGACGTTGCTTCGGAAAAGCCGGGACTTCTTCCGGTACTGGTCCAGGAGCAGGGCTGCCCTGGAAACAGGTCACAGACCCAACATGAAGTCCCAGTGAGGGGGGGTGGGGGTGGGGATGTGGCTCAGTAGATAAAATATTTGCCACATAAGTGTGAGGACTGGAACTTGGGACCCCCACAAACATGTAAATGCCAGTGGGCATGGAGGCCTGACTGTAATCACAGAGCTCAGAAGATGGAGACAGGATCTCCAGAGCAAGCTGCAAAGCTAGACGAGTCCATACCGGAGACGAGCTCTGGGTTCAGCTACGAAACTTTTTCAATGAATAAGGTAGAGAGAGACCAAGGTAGATTTCTGACGTCAACCTTGGTCTCCATATACACTCACAGACCTGGATATGCATCCACAAATGTGGTTCCACACACTTGCAAACTATGCCTGGTAGCACTTACTTTTAACTCCAGCCCTGGGAGGCAGAAGGCAGGCAGATCATGTATGAGGCCAGCCTAATCTCTATATTGAACTCCAGGCCAGCCAGGACTATATAATGAGATCCTGTCTTAACAAAAGAAAAAGAAAAAACCGGGAGTTGGTGTCGCACACCTTTAATCCCAGCACTTGGGAGGCAAAGGCAGGCGGATCTCTGTGAGTTCGAGGCCAGCCTGGTTTCTAGAGTGAGTGCCAGGATAGGCTCGAAAGCTACACAGAGAAACCCTGTCTGGAAAAAAAAAAGAAAGAAAGAAAGAAAAAGAAAAAAAACAAACAAAATTCACATGAAAAGCTAGGCACAGTGGTACATCCATGCAATCTCAGTACTTGGGAAGCTGAGGCAAGAAGATTCCAAATTTGAAGCCAGACAGGTCTACTACCCAGAGGCCTGCTAGGTGTGGTAGCACATGCCTATAATCCCAGCACTTTTGGGGTATCAGTAGTTCAAGCCCATCCTCACCTACACAGCAAGTTCAAGGACAGCCTCAGCTACATGAGACTCTGTCTAAACCCCGATACACACAAGGAGAAAGGTGCCTTGCTTGAACTGTATGAAAACATTAATTTTTTTAATCCATATTATCTATCCAATACAGTCTTATAACATGTCATTAGAGGCTTTTCCCTGCCGGGTATATGACATGTGCCTGTAATCCCAACACTTGGAGTCTAAGGTAGGAAGACTGTTGCAAGTTTGAGGTCAGCCTGAGCTACATACAGAGTGAGTACTGGGCAAACCAGAGCTACATGACAAGATCTTGTCCCCACAAAAGAAAAAAAAAAAAAGAAAAAAGAAAAGTAGCCTTTTCAGTGCTTGCTTGGATTGCTGCTACTTACCACATTCTCAACATTTCAGCTAAAGTGACATTTAGATCAACCTTAACCAATACTTTTGTACAGTGACATCTTTGAGGTACTTTAGGAGGGACAGGTCTTTTTTCTCAGACTAAAGCTCTCTGGCAGGACTGGGTGAGTCTAAACAGGATTTGGGCCCAGTGAGCACAAGATCCACCTGCCTGACCTGGAGCTGACCCCGAGAACCTGAGTCAAACGAGGGATAGCAGCTGAAAGTTTGCAAGAAATGGTACCAATGTAAAAACTGTTTAGGGCAGGTGCCAGGCATAGTGATGCATGCCTTTAGTCCCAGCACTTAGGAGGCAAAGGCAGGCACATCTCTGCAAGTTTGAGGCTAGCTTGGTCTACTTTCTGAGTTACAAGACAGCCAGAACTACACAGTGAGATTCTGTCTCAGAAAAAAAAAATGTTTAGGGCTGGGTATGTAGCTCAGTTGGTAGAGTGCTTGTCCAGCTTCACAAACCCCTGATTTGGGCATAAACCAGGTGTGTTGAGTCATGCTTGTAACCCAGCACTCAGGAAACAGGCATGTTTGAGGCCAGCCGGCCTGGAATATGAGATCCTTCTCAAAAAGAAAAGAAGGGGTGGGGGCAGGGAATGCCTCCCAGTCTATTAGGGCATCAGAAGGCATCCTCACCGAGGAAAGCAAAAGCATTCTGAGAAAGAAGCTAAGCGCCTTTCCCATTCCCCAGGGAGGCAGGAAGGGGTTGCTATTGCAGATGCATGGCCTAAACTCTCCACCAGACTCTACCCTTCTTTCCAGGTATGGTCAGTCCCATGTGGCACAGCCAAGACCAGAAGCCAGGTTTCAGCCTAACTCCTCTGAGAAGCAAATGTTACCAGCAGCTGGGTGCAGGAGCAAAGACCTGTTACCCTATTCTCAGGAGACGGAGGCAGACAGATTGAGTACTGCTGGGGTACACAGCTCAAAACCCCACGCCCCACACCCCACACCTTGTCCTAGCAGGGCTGACAGCAGATACCTGTCTGCCACATTGGCCTCTGTAATAGCCCGAGGTGGCACCTTCCAAGGGCAATTGATGCGCCCACCCGGCAGACGTTTGAAATCAAACTGGCAGCAGATCTTGGGATCAGGGCCACAGGTGTGTGGGACATCATAGCTGTAGAAGGGCATCATGTGGCAAAAGATGTCTGTGCTGAAGTCTGGATCTGCAGATGAAAATGACATCCCATAGGGCAGGCCACTGGCAGGCAGGGTTAGCAGCTAGACACACACACATCACAAGTGTGTAGATTCATGTCGTCCATAGGCAGCCCTGAGAGACACTCAGGCTCTAGCTGAACTCAAGAGTTTACAGCATGTGCAGGCTGGGACTAGGGTACGGGGCTCCCAAACCCACAGCTCCTGCAGGAGATGGGCCCACAGAAGCCAGCAGGGGTCAACATGACTCTCCTAGACAGAAGAGTTATTTCAGGCAGTGAGCCCTTAGGGACCACAGGGTGAATTTCTAATAAATCTTTTCTTCCCCAATGAAGACTACATGGCTACAATACCCATGCCCCTACTTGGCCTTACCCCACATCTGCCTCCACATGAACTCCAGGCTGTGAGTGGCAGCAAAGTGCTTCTTGATAGCATAATGCACCCTCTGAATCAGCATGCTGGTCAGGTTGGCACGGCGCAGCAGGTAAGGCATGGTGGAGCTGTGCCCAAAGGGGTCCACTGCCCAGCCTGAGCGTGGAGTTGCACCTGGGCAGAGCACAGATTTCACTGGCCCTGAATACCTCAGGGACTGACCTCTGGCTTCCTAGTGCCTAGGAGGCAAGCTCCTACTTTACCCATCAGACGGGCTGCAATGAGCCTAGAAAGAACAACTCCCCACCAACCCCTGTACCTCACAGCATCTTGCCACAACACTCAGGCCCAGCTCCCATTCTTAGACTTACCCAGGTTTCTCTCCAGCCACTGGTGTCCCTCGATGAGTTGGTCAATCAAGGCAAAGTAATGGGAGTTGGCCTCATCTGGCATCACCCACCCACCTGTTGCAATCTCCAGCTGCCCGTTTCCCACCAGCCTAAGGATGAAGGCACACTCAGAATGTGGCAGGGACCCTTTGCTTGGTCCTGGCAGCCAGAGGATGACAGGGACTGCATACATTGGCCTCCTCCAGCCAGAGAATACTCACAAACTTGGCACCCATGGAATTAGACAAGACCAACCCACCCAGCTAGGACTTAGATAATGACTCTCCCATGCTTTCCCAACTACCACTGACCTTCGAACTGCTGCCTTTTTTTGAGCACTGATGTTGTCCCACCACTTGGCAAAGAAGGAGACTTCTGCCCAGAGAAAGCGTCGTCGAGGGTCTTCCTGCAGCTTGGACACCATGCTGTTGAGGATGTGTTGGGTTTGTTCCATGTAGTACTTGTCAAAAGTCTTGATCCAGCCTGGTGGAATCAACACAAGTTCCCCTGAATATGCCGCTTACTTCAGCTGCATCCCTCGTCATGTTTGTCATCAGAAAGCCTTCCCCCTACCCCGGCTCCCAGGCTTGCTGGGTCTTCACCTGGATCATTGTGAGAGTGGGGTACCACAAACACCTGCAGGTCTTCAGCATCCCAGTCGTTCGGGCTGTAGGAGATGTCAAAGCCTTGCCTCCACACGCCACCCTCCACATTGTCAAATGGCAAGTCCTCAGACACAGCTAACATCTGCCAGGGAGGAATGTGGCTCAGGGGCCATGTATGACAACAGGAAGTTCCCGCCAGCACCAGCTCTTACCTGTAGTTCTGGCTTCTGACCCCTGCCCCCCAAAGCAAACTGGCAGTCTTGGGGGGAGACAGAGAAGAAACTGGGCCGGGGCTCTGGGAGCACAGCCCAGGAGCCGTTGGCTGTGTGGTAGGGCATCAGGGCTGGTGGGCTCTCTGCATTGGCTGTCAGTTCCAGCACAGAGTCCTTGATATGGCTGATGATCTCATGGTTTTCCTCCAACAGTTGTTCCAGCTGTTCGATCCGGTTCTGCAGCACAGAAATTTGGCTCTGCCAAAAATAAGAACAGAAAGTAATCACTCACAGCTCCCTGTCACAGGAAGAATTCCTGATTGGGGCTGCCACCTGGTACCTGACTGGTCTATGGGTTCACTCTCCTCAGGCCAAGTCAGACCATGGGCCTGCGGTGATGAAAGCCGCACATCACTCCTGCAGACCCCCTATCCGCTTGGCTTGGAAGCAGCATCACCCTCCAGCTCATGGAGGGCAAGCATTTCCTCTCGCGTGCCTGTGCTCAATGACTGTACTTCCTGCCTCAACCAAGCATGGTGTTGAGGACTGCATTCAACTTAATGGAAAAGAAATGCTGCAGTCAATTAGCAGTGTCTGCCAAGAACTCGACTCAGACTAGCAATACACATGGCCACTTTTCTTCTTCTTCTGCCGCTGTTGCTTTTCACTTCCTGCCGTGGCTAGGAGCTCAGCCCAGCGGTGGAGCATGTATTTAGCAAGAACCAGCTCTTGGGCATCCACCTCCAAAAAGAAGGCAGATCTGCCTAGGAGTGTTCCTGGGCTACAGCTATATAACTCAGCTGTAGATCATGTATCCCGCCTTCGTGCACGAGGCTCTTGAACTAATCCCTAAGACCAGGGGTGGGGGGGGGCGTGTTCTCGTCCTGTACCGGCATAGCTCTCCTGCTGGGGAGATGCCCAAGCCCAGGTGTGACTTGCATCTGAAGAAGAGAACAAGGTGTGACTCACCCTGGGGAAGTTCCCACCATTCTGGTGTCTGGCAGGATCGTGCTGCACCCGGTCCAGCATCAGGTAGAGGGAGAAGACTGCTACACAGAAGATAGCAGCCCCGCACACTGTCACCTGCTTTTTCAACTTCATGCTGACCCCCACACGCACCTGGCAGGAGAGAGACCATCTCTAGTTCTGGCATGCAAAACCCTTCTGTTGGTCTTCCTATCAAATGCCCTCTGAATTCCCAAGCAGTACCTACTTGTGCCTGACTCTGGGGAAAAAAAGGGGGGGGGGCTTCCAATAACCAAATCTTGGTTGAGACTCCCAGCACACAAGTAGCACATATGTCTGGGGCTGGTCCTGTAGGACAGAAGTTCTGCCTCCCCTCAACCGGAACGATAAAAATCAGGATGCAGGGTGTGTGTGTGTGTGTGTGTGTGTGTGTGTGTGTGTGTCAGGTGAGACAGCTCAGTAAGTAAGGCACTTGCAGCCAAGCCTGACAGCCAAGATAATCCATTTGACTCACAAGGTGGAAGTAGAAAAAGCAACTACCATAAACGTGTGAGTTGCATTGCCACACGTTTTCTGTGGCGTACATGCTCACAAATAAACAAATGTAACCCATTAAAAACAAAAACAAAAGCAGGGATAACAGAGCCCCAGCTCTGACCCACACTTCATTACAAAACCACTGATTGCAAACACCTTGCTCAGGACTCTGCCCGCAAAGAATGCCTGTCCAGGCTCCCTAGCCATGTGTTTCCTCCCTTCAGATGAATAAATACCAAGGCTTCTATTTTGTTTGACTTAGAGGTACAATCACCGGCTGGAGAGAAAGACAAGCTGTCTGTCTACTCCTGGGTCAAACAGCTACTCAGCAGAAACAGTGCCTGGCCCAGACCCCGTCTCAACAAGAATACAGAACGGACTTCTTTTTAAAGAAGAAGAAATGCTCACGTTTCTAACAACCCTGTATTAGTAGTCTAGTATTCTCCCGGCCAGTACTGATTCCTGCAGTGCAAAACTTCCAGTCCTAGCTTCCAGGGCGCTTTAACGGACTCGTGAGAAGCCAGCGGGGAGACTCAAGTCCCCAGGGTAGTGGAGGCCAGGCACAACTTCTCGGTATGGGGCAACTCGAGAAGACCCAAGGCGCCTGCTTTCACCGCCCGCGGGTCCCCACTTGCCTGTGACGGAGGGAGGACGCTAACTGCTGAACGCGCGTGGGCGGGACCGCGTCCTGGAGTCTGCTCTTCGGGCCCTGGTGCTGAAGAGCTCTGTCACCTCACCCAGCGTCCTACTTAGCGCGAACTGATTCCGCTCAGGAGCCTCCGGGCAATATTTTTAGCCCCTGGAGATTGGGTCCGGGCCAAAGAGGGCGGAGCAGGGAAGCAGGAGCTGGGTTACCGTTGGGGCAGGCACCTGCCCCGGGGTCTCCCCCGCAGTCCCGCCCAGCCCCCTCCGGCCCTCGGAGCTCAGCGGGCACCCGGGGGCCGCAACGCC